CAAATATGAAGGAGCGCATGGTCCAATTGCAAGATGCTCAGAAAGAGGCAGACGTCACTTCGGAAGCTACCGAGAGGGAACTTGAGCTTGAAGCTCAACTTGTTGAAGCAAGGAGCATTATACAAGAGCAGGTAATGTTTTATGCTCTCACAATTGCAATCATGAGTTAGGTCCAAGGCATTTTGACGCATGTTGTAATGTTTTATACAAGAGCAGGTAATGTTTTATGCTCTCACAATTGCAATCATGAGTTAGGTCCAAGGCATTTTGACGCATGTTGTTTACTACGATGCAAAATAACAAAAGCTGATTTTTTTTATTTAGAAAAAGTCTTTTTTTTTTTTTTTTTTTTTTTTTTTTAATGTTTTATGGTGTTTGGCCAATACAAAATTGTTCTTTATGATGACAGCAGAAAAATAAAACTACATTTAATGGAAGCAAGAATTGGTGTTTCATTGAGGAATGATATATGCCTACGACATGCAACTCCATATCTTTTGGCGGGTCCAGTCCTATACATGTATCTATTTTCCAAACGGCTCCCTTTCAACAAATCCATGGGCTTTTTCTTTTTTTACAATTGAATTTCCTGGCAGTAGTTTGCTTAGTGCTGGACCGTGTTAATTTGACAATCCATTTTAAATTTACGAGTAATGTGATTATATGTTGTGTTGCAGGAATCTATAATGGCTAAACATCTTCCAAAGTCTGATAGACCAAGGTATACTTGGTGTTATCTATTTCTTAAGAACTGTCTAATATGTCTAGCTGCAGTAAATTGATTTACTTTTTGAATTTTATAGGGAATCGGCACCGGCTGAGGTATGTATTTATGTTTATGTTTGCCTGTTTCAAGTTTTGGGTGGTTATTTCAATTTATAATCAACCTATCAACCTAATTTTTTATACAACTGAAATTCCGAAGGATTTTTAGTGTATTTGTGGTGGTTGGAGGAATAATGGTATTTGGAAATGCATCTTTGGAGGTATACTTTAAGTGAGGTGTGTTTTATTTCCCAATGACTAACGCCTCAAACAAAATTGATGCATGACTATATCTATGAGTTTAGGTTTCTTGAATTTCTTAGTCTGATAGTTTTTTATTTTTTTTTATTTTTTTTATTTTTTTTGCATCAGATAAAGCATCTAATAGATTATGTCTTTTAGATGCTTTATTGAGGTATGAGGTTATAGGAGTAACCAGTTTATTGAGGTAGATTACGTCTTTTGTTTTCTTAAATTTCTTACTCATGAATGAAAATTCCAATTAGGAATGTTTATTGAGGTTATAGGAGTAAACCAGTTTTGTTTGTAAGAGTGCAACTTTCAAAAGAAGATTGTATCCATAATTCGTAAGTTGATAACAATTTAATTAGTGTGGTAGGAAAAGATGTGTGTCAAACTTTTAATGTTGTGATTTTGAAAATATGTTCAAATGTATTTATCTCTGATTAAAATGCACCGGTTTCCTATGGTGGGAACCTGGGAACGACTCTTTTTTTTTTATCTTCTCAGACATCTAGTTTTGAAGATAAACTGGTGAGTACTGGGAATTAAGGCTTCAAAGAACAACCTAAATGGGATTTAATCAGACTTATTCCTCTGTTGGTAGCAGAAGGGATCAAATATTAATGTTAACATGGTCTGTGTCTGTCGTGTTGATAGGTGTAGTGCTAGACTGGGAGCACATGTTGGTGTTGATAGATGTAGTGCTGAAGATGACATTTAGTTTCCAACCTTTTTTAAGGTTTTTGTTACTGATTCTTTTGTTTTTACAATAGTGTCATCTCATTCGCCTCAAAATGTTAGTTGAAGTATGATTATGGAATCAGTAATGTTGATGCCGAAAGGCCTAAAATCCGTCATGTGAACATGTCATTGCGGCATATGGCACAGCCATGGCAGACATTCCATTATGCCATGGTGACACCATGGTCGCAATATAACAACACTATGAGATTTGATCATAAGGTTGAAATCTTCATCATGAATGATTGTATGATCATGCTGGTAAATGGAAGTCTAAAGCATCTAATTTGGCAAAATTGTTATCGCATTACATTTAGCAGTAGATTACTAAATTTATTGTTAATTTCTTATCAGTTGGTTACATAAGGGTGTATCTGCATTGTGATATTGTTCTTTTCTGATTTACAGGGAGTATGTAACTAACTTTGTGCCCAGGTTTCATGCTTGTCATGATTACTTACATTGGCTCCATGTAACTAATCTTGCTTGTCCATTCTACGTTGCCCCCTTAGTTGATGATGTAACAACATGGCCTCAAAAGGTCGAATGTCATTGTTATTAATATGATATTGTAATTAGTGATATTGTAGTCTTGGAATTGCTTCCGGAAGAAACAAGTTATTTATGTCCGGATGATCACTCAAACTTGCATAGCATTTAAGGTTTGTAGCTAGAAAGATTTTAAGACTTAGTAATTATGAAGTATGATTCAGTACAGTTTTACAATCTCTCAACACAGCTACAGTTAATCAGTGTACACTAATTACATTAACATAAATTCACATGGGTTGAAGTAGCAGTATTAGAGTGCATTCAGGTGTAAAAGAAGCACTGGTTAAACCAGTAATGAATATTATAGGTGATAAATTTTCCACATATTTGGAAAAAAAATGAATGAAGATGGTTGAGTTGTATATTTCCTTTATTTTTCTAATGTAAAAGTAAAAACATAAATAATACTTTATTATTTTCAATCACGCCTTGTAATTGAAACAAGAATTTTGGTCATGTTCATTGGGAAACAACCTCCATAGACTTGTTTGACAGTATGCTCCGAGCATGAGCAGACTGAATTCAATGAAGAACGAGTACTCTTCATCATTGACATTGATGAAGATGAAGAAGAAAAACTTGAATCACGAGGCGATGCCATAGATTCAGAATCAGAGCTACAATCCAACCATGATAGTACATCAAAATCTTCATGAAAACAATCTTCTTGTGGCTTCTTGCTTTTGATTTTGTTAACCCTTCTCTTCCAAAACCTCAGCTTTGACATAGTTGAAGGTGATTTCTTGGTGTCCAAAATGCATGGTTTTGCTAGCCCCAAACTAAGAAATTTTGGTGGTGGAGTGAGTGGTGGAAGCTCTTTTGCCGGTGATGATTCTTTTGCTATCCCTGGTTGCATTTCCCACTTGAATGGAACACCTTCTCCACTTCTATAATATGAAATACGAGAGGAATATCCCACAGAGGATTTCCTTGATAGAATCTTATTGCTTTCAATCTCAAATAAATCCATTTCACCTTTTCCCAGTACTAAAATTATGGAAGAGAAAAATAAGTTGCATATGTTTATATAGGATTCAATTCAACCGTTTGACCATTACTTATTATCATAATTTAAAAACTATGTATCTTGTTAGGTGGTTATTGACAATGATTAATATATGTTATTGCTTGTAGTTTGAGTGACTTGAAGTCTTTTCTTCTGTATTGACAAAGAAACAAATTATAAGCAAAGTGAAAATGTACCGTTGTTTCTAAGTCTTTGGCATGATAAACCTTTTATATTGTGCGTTTGCCGGCCTCTGTTGCATGTGCAATTACCAAACCCTAAAGACTTGGCCTCCATTTTAGATAGCATCTCACACAACGTGTACATTGCTATACGCCATTTTTCTGTCATATAAGAGAAAATTTGGTGTTGATTTTTCACTAAGCTGTAACTTAGTCTCATATTTTATGTAACTTAACTTGAACGTGCTCGGAGCATACTGTCAAACGAGTCTATGGAGATTGTTTCAATTTGCTTAACCTCCATAGTCTCATATTTTATATTTCGACTCTAATGTCAATTACCACTAAATCAACTAACAATCGGTGAAATTTGATAACTTTCTCTTTTGATATAAAAGAAAAATCTATTATTTTAAAATTATTAATTAAAAAGTGTTTGGTTCATTAAATTCGAATGAATGCAATTACTACACGTTAGTGCTTCAATTTCTTTATTAGATGAACGGAGTGGACTTTTGTCAGTAGTGTACTTTTAACTATATATATACAATTTTAATTAGTAATATTATTTATGAGTATGATTCAATTGATTAAAACTAATTTTATTACATTTTTCAATCACTTTCTACTTTTCTTGTTTATTTGATGATTTATAAAATTAAGTGATAAATTGTTCATTTCTAATTTATTTTGTAATAGTAAAACAAAAAATATTTGTATATATTTATATTCCCATTAGTTAATTCAATGAGATGTACTATTTTCTAATACTATTTTCTAATATAATCACAACATCCTTTATAATTATTTTAAAAATGTTGCTGGTCGATCTAACTTTAGGAGGTTTCACGAGGTTTGGTTTAAAGTGGAATTTAATTTAAAATATTTTAAAAATAATATTTATTTAAATATCTAGATTTTATAATATAAAATAATTAATAGAGAATAGAGATATGTAAACCATTAAATTTAAGTTGACGGATTGAAATAGACAAGCGTTTTAAGAATTTTATGTGACAAATATATCACTGAAGGAGAAATTTATTAAATTGACTTGCGATGTTATACGAGATAAAATGTTAGACAATTAATAATAAACACGAAGATAAAATAAATGTAATAGAAATAAAAATATTACTTTCATCATGAGATTAGACAAAATAAAATTCTAAATGACAATATTACATAATTTTAAAATAGCATCTATGATGAAAAAAGATAAGAAAACAATATCAAATAAAAATGAATCAAACAAGAATAAAACAGACTTAAAAAAATTATATAAAACTATTAAGAAAATTTTTGAGATTATTAATTCGTATAAAAATATGATTGTGGATAGAATCCTATGGTGCAAGTTAATCTATAAAACGCACAAATAAGGCAAGAAAAGCGGCGGGAAACCAATTATTCTGATATTGTCTGAATATATTTACAACACTGGACACTGAATTGTGAAATTTCTAATTTCTCTCCAATCACTGCATTTCAAATTCCGAAGAAGCATCACCATGAATCCGAGCCAGTTCGACGGTAACGCTGCCTTCTCCGGCGGCGGTTTCACGACTACTCAGACCACTTCTGGCGGCGACTCTCCATTCAATCCCTCCAAGGTTCTTATCTCTCTCACTCTCCATTTTCTTAATAATCTTAACAGCTTCCACAATAAACCTAAAATCGCATAACCGCAATATCAATTAGTCGCTAGGGTTTAGGGTTTTGACTTGCTTTTCTTATGTAATTGCCTTTTCTTGTGTAATTGCTTTTCTCGTGTAATTGCATAACCGAATATCAATTAGTCGTTAGGGTTTAGGGTTTTGACTCGCTTTCTATTTATACATTTTTCTCTTCTTTTACAGAATCGTGATACTCAGGCCTTGCTTCCTTTGACGATCAAGCAGATCAACGATGCTTTTCAAGCAAGTGATGATAAAACCAATCTGACTATTGATGGTGTTGACGTTGGCACAGTGCGTTCCTTGAATATTCTCTTGTGAATTCTTTATCATGAACTGTGATTTGTGGCTTTTCTTTTTCTCACTGTTTTGTGTTCAGATTTCTCTTCTTGGTAGAGTGTGCAACAAAGCTGGACAGATCACTGATGTTAAATTTGTACTTGATGATGGTACTGGAATGATCGAGTGCACTAAATGGTGAATATTGTTAGATTTGTGCAACTCGTCAATATCTAGTTTAGTTTATTTCTTTTTACATTTTCTTTTTGTGAATGATGAGTTTTTGTTTATTTGCAGGCTTCAAGAACCTGCAGATTCAATTCAAGTAGAGAGTATCTTGTATGTTGCCTTATTTTGTATTGATTGCCATTAAGTACTATATTTAGTTAATATCTAATCAAGTTTTATACCTTCCTCTATAAGTATCGGGAAGACTAACAAGAAATGTTACTTATGTTATTGTTAACCACTTTTTGATTGTTTCTCATCAGCTTCTTCTTATAACTAGTAGTAAGTTTTATTAGGTTAATTGATCAAGAAAATGGAATGTTTTAATTACATGTTAAATGCTGAAATATGACCTTTTTTTATAAGAGCAAAATGAAAGAGGAATACATGATATGGTCAGCTTTCTTTTGCGTTTTTATCTTTCTGTTAACATATGCACAACTGATCATTTTGCATTGAGGTGGTCTGAAAAATTGTTCTGCAGTTTCTTCATTTATAATACAATTTATATTCATATAACATGAACTGAAGTTCTGTTTTCATTGGTAGAAATGGAACGTATGTGCGGGTTTATGGACACTTGAAAGGCTTTCAGGGTAAAAAAAACTTAAATGTTTTCTCTTTTAGGTATGATGATACAAATTTCACATTTTATTTTAGCAGTTCAATATTTTAAATTTTTTGGATAGATTTGTTGACGTATTACCAGATGTTAGTTATCCTATGAGTGACAGGTTGTTTGGCTAACAGATAAAAATTTTAGTTCCTTAATTTGTGCCATTTTCAGGCCTGTGACTGACTTCAACGAGATTGCCCACCATTTCATTCATTGCATATATGTTCATCTATATAATTCGAGATTACGGGTATGAGTTATAAAGTTGCCAAGTTCTATATTTGAGTTTGACATGATATGATGTATATATAAGATTATGGATTTTGACAAGTCTACCATATATGTGACTGCATTCTAATATTTCACATGACAAGATATCCAGGCTAGCAACCCCAATCTGCAACATGTTCCTAATTCCACTCAAATCACTCCCACGAGAGGTCATCAATCTCAAGCCTTTTCAGCAAATCAAGTAAGTGGACCATGGCTTTTAGTTTTTGCTTATTTTTTTACCATATCCTCACTGCTTTAGCAATTTTTCTCAGCAGTTTTCTGGTAATAATGGTCAGAAGAGTGTTGAAGAATTGGTATTAGATATCTTGCATCTTTCCACAAACAGGTATTTTTTTTTAATGTAGTTTTATTTTGTTTTATTTGATTGGCTCATATAACATATAACCAAGTCAGTTATTTCTCGGAGCCTTTGATATTTCCTGAATTTTGGGGTTAGGCCTGTTAGTTCTTCTGGGAGTTAAGTTAGTTAGGATTATCTTGGACTTGGGACCTAGACAATATGGTAGACCACATTATATATAAATGGTAGGAAGGAATGAGAGGATACTTTCGGATTTGAGAGAGTGGGTCTTATGGCAAGGAGGCTCGCTGGCACTCAAAGCTATGCGTTTCTACTTTTGAAATTAAGGCTATCACTATAACAGCCACCACCTTTTATATAGAAGCTTCTAATTATTTATTCCCTTGTGGATTATTGTAGCAATCTTAATGAATTTAGATATAATGCAAACTTTAAAACAGTTAAAACCGTGATAACTTACATCCATTCTTTTTTAAGTGAGTTAATACTTGAAATGACGCATGATTGAGCTTATATATGGCAGACAGTTAAAACCGCTTCCATCTGACCCGATATGAGATGTGGGGAGTCGTCTGATTAGGTCCAATGGTGGGCGATGTTCGAATAGCAGGGATCATGTGCCCGACTTTCTGATGAGGTTCCACCTGTTCCTCTATTCACCATGATACGGTGTTTTTGGATTGGGCCCCTCTAATTGGGCTTGCTTCGTTGGGCCTTTGGCTGAATTTTTGAATAAAATTATATGTTGAAATAGTTATTGATGATGCAAGAGTGCTAATATCTTATACTAGTGTAAGTTGATTGGGTATTAATGCATATTTATTAAATATGCAACAGTAAGCATTGTTTGCTCTAGAATTAGATTGACGAATTACCTAGTAGTTTGATCGTGAGGTTTGTACATGAATATGTTTTTTCTTATCTGCAATTTTAGTTTATTGAGTTTACGGGTCTACAACCCGTGTAGTAAAAGTGTCTCCATGCAATGGAGTGGTCCATATTACCATCTAGACTGGGATCCAAAATGCACAAACTATTACTAGAAATAGCCTTCATTTTGCATTGTGAATGGACAAAGATTTGGTGTAGCAGTCATTACATATACCTTTTCTGACAATTTAACTTTATGGCACAATCGTACAAGTTCATCACACCAGATTACTATAAGTTTCAGTTTTCACTTGTTTGTTCTTAAGAGATGCATGTGTAGAATATTGCATTTAGTTTTAATTTTTCAGTTGCTTAGTTATTCTATTATTTATCTGTGCATTACTTTGTTAGAATTGGGACTACTTGAAAGGTTTTGTCCACTATTCACAATCTAAAATGTTGTTACTGATGTTTCAGGACAAAGATGGGGGGAACCTCTCTTGATGTTATTAGACAACATCTTGGAATTCCCATGGATAAACTCATGTCTCTGTTCTCTTTCTCTTCTCAATCTTCTAACTTCCCATGTTGTCCAATTTATGTTTTTTGACTCGTCATCTGGTTTTGCAGGCTGGCTATTACAAATCTTGCGAATGAAGGTACCATTTATGAAGGTGAACAAAATCACTATAAGTCAATTGTCAACGGTTGACATATTGCTGGCTGAGGGGCATCAGTATTACCGGAGTATGCTCCACTCTGCACAAGTTTTTATGCATACCGGTGATTCAACATATGCAGAGAAAAGGAAAGCATAGATCTGCTAGATTTTGAACAACTCAATTGTTTTTCTTGCTGACTAATGTATTCCACACTGTGCTGGTGACATAGATAGCATGACACTAAATGTGTCTACTGTGTAAAGGGATTTTCGCAGATTCTTGAAAACCTTAAGAGCTTACTGTTTATGCAGGATTTGTTTGAATTTAAGGAAAACTATATTTCGATCCAAAGTATATGGCAATGGTTTGTTGGTCTTAAAATTTGGAATCTAAAGGATTTCAACAATGAAACATAGTTAAATAGTTTTTCAATCTATCTCCTAAAATGCAAGAGTATATTAAAAAAGAATATGGCAGTGTTAAAATGCACTACCAGAAAGCTCCTTCAAACTATATTTTGACAAATTTGAGCATCTGAATTAAGTTTTTCTGCTCCTATGATTAATGTTAGAAAACTGTGAACTAGTGGCGAAGTCAAGGATCATTAGTTCAGTAGAATAAAATTATTAGGCAAAACTATTGTTTTAGTCTTTTAAGTTATTTTAAAATATCAAATTAGTTTTTTAAGTTTTTTAAGTTTTTTTTTTTAACGTTTTGATCTCTTTTTAAAAATCTCTGTTATAATAAATTACAAACTTATATATTATTTAAATTGGTTTTTCGCGCTAATCATGAATATGTAATTAAATTTATTAAATAAGTTACGAATTAGTTAAATATGGACGAAATACATAAGGAAAAATCATCAATTTGACCAAAATATGCGAAAAATAAATTTAAATGGTATATGCGTTTGTAATTTATTGTAACGGAAATTTTTAAAAAAGGACAAAAAAAAAAATTTAAGGGACTAATTTGATATTTTAAAATAACTTAAAGACCTAGACAACAGTTTTGCCAAATTATTAAATGCAAAGGGTGCAAAAGGATAATTTCTAAGGAAATTTTCACCTATATAACCACCTTTTACTCTATATTTTTCAAAATAACCAAGTTTTTAATATTTTTTTTTCAAAATACCCTACTTTCCAAAAAAATAATATTTTGAAGAGAGGCGCCATTTGCTTTGGCGACACTCTTATGAATTAGGAGGGGACGCCGTTTGCGTTGGAACCACCCTTATGAATTAGGAGGGGACGCCATTCTATTTGGAGTCACCATTATGTAATTAGGATGAGATGCCAAATGCATTAGAGTCACCTTATTTCGTGATAAATTATTTAATTTTTAGTAATTCATATATTATATAATATTATAATATTTATTGTTATTTTATTTAAAAATGTTCTTGTATAAATGGATGTCATGACTTGTATATTCTTCCACACTTAAATTGTCATTGTTTCTTACAAATTTAGCAGATTCAATCATGTATCTTAGAAGATATGGACATGTCATTTTTTCAAGAACCAAGTCTCCGATAAGGATGCTGTTTTGGAACATCCAAAGTTTAGAGCAACTACGAAAGAATTTGAATCGCTGGTTAGAAGGAGACATTCAAAATGGTGAAAGAATTAGAAGTATTGAAAGACTTGTTTCGTACTTCTCGATTGCAGATGGCAATGACGTTAGGTCTATGATGTTTAGAATTGATGATATTACTTTAATTGTTGTTATATCTTAGTTTATGTTGTATTACTCTCTATATTTTTAATGGTTTGCGTTGTTGCTTTAGAAGTATTTCAATTTCTTTTGTTGTAAACAAAAGATGTTATACATATTAAATTCGAAGGTTACACATTTTTGAATGACCAAAGTAAATCTATCTAGAACTTGTTCCAACATTTGGACAACGTTTTCTCGTATGCCCGGAAAGACGACATATTCCACACAATCTTTCCATTTTCTCAGTTGTATCCATTTCAGTTCTAATTTGCGTGCTTTTGGACCGACCCTTTTTGTTTCTTCTCATGTTTTCGTTGTGGTAAATTGTGTCCCCATGATAGGTTGACCAATAGTCCTCACTAGTTACCACTAGAAAGCTGTTATTGGAGATACCGAATAAGTTCACGACCTTGTAAACTTCTGATAGTTGCAAGAATGGATCCTGACGAACACTGGAACATGCGACAATGACATATGAACGAGGCATACAGAAAGTTTGAAACTTTCCGCAGTCGCACCAATTTTTATGAATTTCCACCTTGTAGTATCCCATTGGCCGACCCTCATTATAATCCTTTGTCTCGTCAACAATGAAGCTGTAATCGTGACTGTCAAATGCTCTAACTCGATGTGAGGCCTCTTTAACAGTTTCCTCCTTCATATATTTCATGCAGGTTTCGCTGAATAATTGCCCTGATTCCAAAACAGCGCTCCATTTTTTGCCTCTTGCTGCAAAAAGTGACCCCAATCTATAATAGGTTGCTCTTACCAACGCAGTGATGTGGAGGTTTCTAATTCCTTTAAATACGCCGTTTAGAGATTCCACAAGGTTTGTGGTCATGTGACCCCATCTGCATCCTCCATCAAAAGCCCTTGTCTATTTCTCCAATGGAATGCTATCTGCCCAGCTTAATGCTTCCGCGTTTGACAATCTTATTTCTTCACGTTAATACATGAACGATAGTTGGTTTAAGGCATACCCCACGTTCACAACTTTTTTACGGAGATTTTTGTCTTTGATTTCTCGCATAAAATTCTAAACAACGTGTCTTATGCAGTAGACATGGACAGAAGAAGGATTGTGCTAACCATTAGCATGATTATTGTAAGCGCTCACAATAGAGGTATGTCTGTCAGAAATCAGACATAAGTTGGGTTGTGGGGCGACATGTCTTCTGAGATTTTTAAGGAAGAAACTCCAAGTTTCACCTATCTCACCTTTGACCAGAGCAAAGGCAATCAAAAATATATTATTATTTCCGTCTTGTGCAACTGCCATCAGCAACGTTCCTTTGTATTTTCCATACAATCATATTCCATCGACTTGAATAACAGGTTTGCAGAACGCAAAACCTTTGATACAGGGTTGAAATGCCCAAAAGTGACGAGAGAATATTCTACTTCCATCAACACATGTTCCATCAAGAGTGTATGCTGGAAGTGACTCCAATATTACAACCATACCAAGAACATATTTTTGAAGTGCTAGCAAATACTGTGGAAGTTGATTGTAAGATTTTTCCCAATTCCCATATACATGTTCAACCGCTTTAATTCTTGCAATGCAAGCTTTCCTGTACAATGGGGTATAGTTGAACTGTGCAACGACATGAGAGATAATTGTGCTCACCTTCACAGATGGATCTACGCCCACAAGATGAAAAATCTCTTGGCATATTAATTGGGAGCTTAGTTTACCATGATCTTGCCGATTAATGTTGGTTGTGCAACTATGAGGTGGATCAATCAAACTTATCTCCCAACAATCACTTCTCTTCCGATTGGACGCTACTAACTGAAACTTACAAAGTTCGTTACGACAAACTACGACATAACATTTTGAGTCATTGCGGTTTACTTCAAAATCAACAAAGTTATCCATGTGAAACTTTATTATAGCTTTTATGCATTCTGCTTTTGTGCGGTACTGGTTCCCCACTTTCAAGACACCTTCGATTTGTTGAGAAGGATTGTAGAACAAATATGAGGATGACTCGTCTCCACTCAATTTCAAGTTAGTCATGTGCTGGGGAGGATAATAGACATGAATTAATGGTAATTCCTCTTCATCTGTGTCTTCAAGTAGAGTGATTGCGGTGTAGTCCCCAGTCCCAAAAAAATTCACCATTTGATCAACCATGGCCTTAGGTTCTTCTTCCTCCTCGTCAACTGCATCAACTTCATCTTGTTCCAATGACTGTGACCGATCTATTACATGAGATTCACCAAACATTTGGGATTGTTGAGTCTGATAGAGTAATAGATACAACTCGATATAATCGAACCCAGAGTGTTCATGACTATCAAACATGTGTTGAACATCGTTATCGTCCTGTATATTCTGTTGAAAATACTTGACCTGACTATTTAAAAAAAAGAGACTTCTATATATGATTGAGAGATTGAACCAGACAAAGTATTTGACTCTATTCGCTCTTTGAAATGCAAAAAAATTGATTTTCTGCTCATTCTTAATCGGGTAACACCAGTATTTTGAAACCCAAAATCGGAACTTTCATAGAAGTATGTGTCTCCATTAAAATGAACATGAACAATATAATTTGTTGTTCTAGACATATTTTCATGTAATGAAATTTAGTTTAGATGATATTTACCCTCTTCAATGTGTACTGATACATATAATAAATGTACCAGAATAAAATAATATTATAGCTTACAAGGGAGGCGCCATTTGCTTTGGAACTCCTTCGTTAAATTACAAGGGAGGCGTCATTTGCTTTGGAGCCCCTTTTCACGAATTAAAACTATGACGCCATTTCAAATGGAGTTAGCATTTAAAATAAAATAGGGACGCCACTTGGTTTGGAGTCACCCTATATGTGTACGAAAATGGAATCTTACATGCATGCAATCTGACAAGTGTGACAATTCATCTACAATTTCATCTACCTCATTTATTTTTCTGCATGCCAATCAATATATCATCTCCAACAATTTATTTTTTCCATCTACCACAAATTCAAATTTTTTACTATAAATACATATGAGATTTCATTGTAAAAATCATCAATCTATCCAACCAATATTTTCTTGTTATAATCACACTGTATATTCTGTAGAAAATGTCTCTGTTAACATTGGGAGAGAAGCATAGAGGAACACCAAACAACATCGTTTCTTATGTAAGTATTTGTAGCTCACTATTTTTGTTATAATCACGTTGTTGTAACGATTTGTAGCTCACTATTTCTTTTTTGTTAGAATACTCATGACTTCCAAACTCGTGGGCATAAATATTTCCCACATGACAAGTTAATTGAACCATATTTGGAGCGCGCAGAATTTGGAGAACTAATAAAAATCCAAAATTATTCCGTGGATACAAAGTTCATTTTAGCGCTTCAAGAAAGGTGGCGGACCGAGACACATACATTGCATTTTCCAACAGGTGAATGTGCTGTTAATCTCGAAGACACTTACATGTTATTAGGTTTATTTATTAATGGTAAAGTGGTAAACGGTATCACCAATCTTCGTGGTAGTATGTCAGAAGAACTTTTATAGGTCGTCACGACCCCAAGCGATTTGAGGGGTCAAAAACTATTAATATCATGGCTCAAAAAAATTTATAAAGCAATAACGTTAATCGTAGACTCTCTAGAAATATTGAAAATAAGAAAAACTAGAATTTATATTATGCTACTAATAGGTTTATTTTTATGTCCGGATGCAAGTGGTAACGCTGTTCATCATATGTATTTAACTTTATTAGAGGACATAGATAAAATAAAAATATATAGTTAGGGGTCCGCCACACTATCGCACCTATACAAGTCTTTGTGTAACAATGCAATAGCAAATTCGTCTAATTTTACCGGATGTGATGTTTTTCTTCAAGCTTGGGGTTGGTCAAGAATGACCAATCTAACACCTATCCAACACAATAATTTCGAATTTCCATATGCTACAAGGTAATGTCTTAGTCCAATTCTTTGAAAATTTCATATTATTTTATTTAATTTATCCTATTATTAACAAATATTTCATTTTCGATTTGTAGGTGGTCTGCACTTGGGATGAATTATGACAACTGTCCCCATTACAATATCACCCAGTACTGAAATCTTCTGAATCATTTGGGTCAAGATGATGTACCGTCACTGACCTACCTATTTAGAATAGAGTCACATTAAATATTATTTGAAAATACTAAATATTATTTTTTCTCCTACAGTTTATTTGGCGGTCATATCTTGGTCTAGAAGCCATTCATGAAGTTAACGAACACGACTCTGCTACGTGGAGTGCAAAAGTACCGATTATCAACTTCACCACAGTGGAAATGCACAACAGTGATTGTGCCAAGCTTCAGTTTGGAATGCTACAAGATATTTCATGTCCACCAAAATGCATCTCTGAGAAATATCACACAAGTAAAGTCTCTGACCAATGAGACTATTCCCCATGGACCAACTTTGCAAAACATGAGTGTCGTGAATAGAAGCATCGCCGCCATTTTGTTTTGTCCGACACTGTGTTGCCATACGAGAAAAAACCGTCTATCCAATACATGAATTGATATAGGTCGGTTACCATTGGTTCCATTTCTCATCCTAGATATCTGGTTGAGCCACGCCAATAAGCTCATCATCAAGAACCCAACCGCCGACCTAACCCCATTACCAACAGCCAACCAAACCCTCACTCACACAACCACAACTCCATGAACATACCCCTTACTAATCCACTCCATTCACACAGAGTTATTCCCAATCTCAATACCAACAAAATCCACCATCATACCAAACATACTCCTATGATACTACAAGCCAATTTAACATGGAGTATCAAACACCCAATCAAACCTTACCCACCCAATCAAACCTTACCCACCCAAACATTTACACCAATGTCACCTTACGACTAAACAGGCTATCGTCCTGACATAGCCTCATCGAGCTAACCACTCCAACAAAATTATGAAGGCATGAGCAACCCCATTAATCTGGATGACTTTGCAAAGATTGAATTAACTTCATGGGCCCAAATGATCCAATATCTTGAAAACGACCCATTGGACCCGACACCACCACAAAGACCACCAAGAAAAGTACGTACTCGAGGATGCGGTACCGGCGGACATCTCCCTATGTACTCATTTCGCCTATGTACTCATTTGTTATTAAATGAAATTAATGTACCATATTTCATAGAACTTAATGTACCATATTTCGCCTATGTACTCATTTGTTATTAAATGAAATTGTTAATTATTATTTAATATGTTATTTATTAAATATTATTCAAAAATCATCAATTAATAGTGACTCCAAATAGAATAATTCATAAGGGTGACTCCAACACAAACGATACCCCCTCCTAATTTATAAGGGTGTCGCCAAACCCAATGGCGCCTCCCTTCAACACATTTTTTATTTTAAAAAGTAGGGTATTTTAAATTTTTTTAAAAAACTTGAATATTTTAAAAAATATAAAGATAAAAGATGGTTATATGAATGAAAATTTCATTTCTAAGTGCAAGACAGAAAAATTATTAATATTAGTTGAACCTCATGGGACACGTGAGTATGCTCTGATATTACTATTTCCTTTTTAAATTATATCTAAAATTTTTAATAGTTTTATATAATTTAAAAAATTTAATTAACATTGTGTGAAAAAGTTGCAAGTTATTTTACAGAAATATTCATTAATGGTATGGTATGACATAAATAAATTTGAAAATTTTTAGACTTAAAAGTAATAAATATAATAAAAATATTAATATTATTAAATGAAAATATAAAATGAATAAAACATTCTATTTAGAATGATATGTTTTGTAGAATAAATTAGGAAAGATGAAAATTAATTAAGGTA